CGCGAAACCCACAAAATACGAAATTTTTTACCAGTCCTGACATTCGTGCCAAATTTGGTGAGTTTTTGAGCATGTTGAGGCCCCGAAAATGGCGCTTACTTTGCAGAAAAAAAAAAAAAAAAAAAAGAAAAAAGAAAAAAAAAAAATGAAAGCTGCAAGCAGCGATGGGCGGGCCCTCGCACCTGTAGCGCGTTGGGGTGTGAGGCGGCCGCGTTGCATATTCTGCGGCTCAGCCGGTGCGGCTCTGAATTTGGTTCGCTGCTTCGTTAAAGGTCACTTTCTGTTGCCAGCAGGTGGCGCTATGACTTAGGGTGAATGCGGGCATGTAGATTTGTTCAGGGCGGGACTCTTGGCAAATGTGTCAAATTTCATTCAGATCTGGTCATTTACAGCCAAGTTACTACAACTTCCTGTTTCATGGCGAATCATCGACGCCACGGACATGCCCATCGATGAAAACGCGCAGAGAGCACAACTTTACATCGTCAATGCCTTTAGAAGGCACAGCAGAAATTTGAAGTCGATCCGACTAAATACCTAGGAGGAGTTCGTTAAAGTACGGAGTGTGTAAATCATCCCAAAATGGGCGCCAAATTCAAAATGGCGGACTTCCTGTCGAGTTAAGGTTATGGGTTCTTGAGGCTTTTTTTACGTCTGGTCATGGTAGATGTACCACAGAAATATCGTACATGTCGGTCAAACAAGCGGCGGGGGCTGCTTCGTTAAATGTCACTTCCTGTTGCCAGCAGGTGGCGCTATGACTGTGGGTGAATGTCGGCATTTAGATTTGTTCAGGGCGGGACTCTTGTCAAATGTGTAAAATTTCCTGCAGATCTGGGCATTTATAGCCAAGTTACTACAACTTCCTGTTTCATGGCGAAACATCGACGCCACGGACACGCCCATGGACGAAAACGCGCAGATAGCACAACTTTACATCGTCAATGCCTTTAGAAGGCACAGCAGAAATTTGAAGTGGATCCGACTAAATCCCTAGGAGGAGTTAGTTAAAGTACGTAATGAGTAAATCATCCAAAAATGGCGGTAAAATTAGAAATGGCCGACTTCCTTTCGAGTTTAGGGCATCGCTCCAAGAGGCTTTTCTGTGCATCTGGACATGGTAGATGTAGCACAGAAATTTTGTGCATGTCGGTCAAACATGCGGCGGGGGCTGCTTCGTTAAAGTTCACTTCCTATTGCCAGCAGGTGGCGCTATGACTGTGGGTGAAAGTCGGCATGTAGATTTGTTCAGGGCGGGACTCTTGTCAAATGTGTAAAATTTCGTGCAGATCTGGGCATTTACAGCCAAGTTACTACAACTTCCTGTTTCATGGCGAATCATCGACACCACGGACACGCCCATCGACGAAAACGCGCAGATAGCACAACTTTACATCGTCAATGCCTTTAGAAGGTACAGCAGAAATTTGAAGTCGATCCGACTAAATCCCTAGGAGGAGTTCGTTAAAGTACGGAGTGTGTAAATCGTCCCAATTTGGTCGGTGAATTCAAAATGGCGGACTTCCTGTCGAGTTTAGGGTATGGGTTCTTGAGGCTTTTTTGTGCGTCTAGTCATGGTAGATGCACCACAGAAATTTCGTACATGTCGGTCAAACAAGCGGCGGGGGCTGCTTCATTAAGAGTCACTTCCTGTTGCCAGCAGATGGCGCTATGACTGTGGGTGAATATCAGCATGTAGATTTGTTCAGGGCGGGACTCTTGTCAAATGTGTAAAATTTCGTGCAGATCTGGGCATTTACAGCCAAGTTACTACAACTTCCTGTTTCATGGCGAATCATCGACGCCACGGACACACCCATCGACGAAAACGCGCAGATAGCACAACTTTACATCGTCAATGCCTTTAGAAGGTACAGCAGAAATTTGAAGTTGATCCGACTAAATCCCTAGGAGGAGTTCGTTAAAGTACGGAGTGTGTAAATCTTCCCAAATGGGTGGCCAAATTCAAAATGGCGGACTTCCTGTCGAGTTTAGGGTATGGGTTCTTGAGGCTTTTTTGTGCGTCTAGTCATGGTAGATGCACCACAGAAATTTCGTACATGTCGGTCAAACAAGCGGCGGGGGCTGCTTCATTAAGAGTCACTTCCTGTTGCCAGCAGATGGCGCTATGACTGTGGGTGAATATCAGCATGTAGATTTGTTCAGGGCGGGACTCTTGTCAAATGTGTAAAATTTCGTGCAGATCTGAGCATTTACAGCCAAGTTACTACAACTTCCTGTTTCATGGCGAATCATCGACGCGACGGTCACACCCATCGACGAAAACGCGCAGATAGCACAACTTTACATCGTCAATGCCTTTAGAAGGTACAGCAGAAATTTGAAGTTGATCCCACTAAATCCCTAGGAGGAGTTCGTTAAAGTACGGAGTGTGTAAATCGTCCCAAATCGGTCGCCAAATTCAAAATGGCGGACTTCCTGTCGAGTTTAGGGTAAGGGTTCTTGAGGCTTTTTTGTGCGTCTGGTCATGGTAGATGTACCACAGAAATTTCGTACATATCGGTCAAACAAGCGGCGGGGGCTGCTTTGTTAAAGTTCACTTCCTGTTGCCAGCAGGTGGCGCTATGACTGTGGGTGAATGTCGGCATGTAGATTTGTTCAGGGCGGGACTCTTGTCAAATGTGTAAAATTTCGTGCAGATCTGAGCATTTACAGCCAAGTTACTACAACTTCCTGTTTCATGGCGAATCATCGACGCCACGGTCACACCCATCGACGAAAACGCGCAGATAGCACAACTTTACATCGTCAATGCCTTTAGAAGGTACAGCAGAAATTTGAAGTCGATCCGACTAAATCCCTAGGAGGAGTTCGTTAAAGCAGGGGTTCTCAAACATTTTGGTGCCAGGGACCCCTTTCAGGGGAAAAAAAATTCCAAGGACCCCCCTCATATTTATAACAGTTATTGAGCACAAAGTTAATGTGTGAGCGGCAAATGAAATATTTTTGCACAAAATGAATGGTCTCCACCCAGGGTACTATGCAGGAATTTCTAAATAGCCTACTGAGGTAACGAAAGTGATCTTAGGAATCACTTAGGATCCCTCACTTAGGAATTTTTGATGTTCTTGATCTACACATGTGCATTTTAAGGTGTTTTAAGGCCCCACAATTGGATAACTATAGATTTAGTAGAAGCATGTCAGTCAGTGGCATACATTTTTTTTTTTTTTGTCAAGATGTCACGAAACACAATCACATATTCCAATCAGGAATGGCCTTAAAAGAGAAATGTTTCAATAATTAGGCCTATTCTGCACACAAATAAAGCCCATAAGCCTATAAATACAATGATAATGGCATTATGTTTAATAGGTGCGTGTGTTGTTAATTTGAGCTACTGTAATTAGCTAAAAAAAACATACAGTATATGTTAAATATATGAATCCTGTTAATCTCATGGGCACAGTATGTTTCTATTGACCTGCTTTTTCCTTTGTTAAAGTTGAGCATGATTAATACTTTGCAAACTGATTGTTTCAGTCGTTTTTTAAAACTTTTATCTAAAACAGCTGTTTAGTTTATGTTAATTTAGGCCTACATCTTATCTCGCACTTTATGACCGTTGACTGAAACGTCGTGCGGGGAACTTTGAGTTCACTCCGACTCAAACATTTTGACATTGACGAGCTATCGTTGTTAGTCTGCTGAAGCACCTCAGACGAGAAGGTCAGTATCATCGCGATGTGCATCCTTGCAACCTCAGTTGTGGGTACGGCCCTGTCACTATGCACTTTTATTTTGATAATGATCAGACTTCTAATGTCAAATCTACAGTAGCCTAGCAGTGCTAGAACTGACTATTGTGCGCGCACGCAAGACGCGAATTGGGAATTTTTCCTCAGCAGTGGAAACAGGAATACTCTTATTTATGGTCATAGATAAGACAAGAGTGCATCATCCGAAACGGTAAAGTGTCCATTTTTTTATTTGTGTATAGGCTACATTATAAATGACTACAAAATGTCATGCCTTTTAAAAATACAGAAAAGAACCGGGTGCGGGTTCATGCCGTCTCTCTGTCTCCTTTCTGGCGCACGTCCCGCAAAATCAACAGCAGCGAATAGTCTACTTGACGCAAAGACATAGATTATCTATCTATAGAAAACTTTAAGTGTCTACTTTGTATTGTTTTATGTTAAATGCTTTACTTAGGAATAAACAGCATGTTTTCAGATGATAAAGAAAACATGACCCATAGCATGGAAAAAAACGTTAGGTTGTAAATTATTTCGCGGACCCCCTGGCTTTAGCTCGCGGACCACCAGGGGTCCGCGGACCCCACTTTGAGAACCACTGCGTTAAAGTACGGAGTGTGTAAATCGTCCAAAAATGGCCGCCAAATTCAAAATGGCGGACTTCCTGTCGAGTTTAGGGTATGGGTTCTTGAGGCTTTTTTGTGCATCTTGATATGATACACGTCCCCACCAAATTTCGTGCATGTAGGTTGAACATGGACGAGGGGCTAATTTTTTCCAATTTTCTAGGTGGCGCTAGCGTGCCGTTTTGCCACGCCCATCCGTGAAACCCACAAAATACGAAATTTTTCACCAGTCCAGACATGCGTGCCAAATTTGGTGAGTTTTTGAGCATGTTGCGGCCCCGAAAATGGCGCTTACTTTGCAGAAAAAAAATAAATAAATAAAAATAAAATAACCCTAACAGTTTCAATAGGGTCCTCGCACTGTTAGTGCTCGGGCCCTAATAATAATCCCAACAGTTTCAATAGGGTCCTCGCACTGTTAGTGCTCGGGCCCTAATAATAACCCTAACAGTTTCAAGAGGGTCCTCGCACTGTTAGTGCTCGGGCCCTAATAATCCCAACAGTTTCAATAGGGTCCTCGCACTGTTAGTGCTCGGGCCCTAAAAATAACCCTAACAGTTTCAATAGGGTCCTCGCACTGTTAGTGCTGCTCGGGCCCTAATAATAATAATCCCAACAGTTTCAATAGGGTCCTCGCACTGTTAGTGCTCGGGCCCTAATGATCGGCTTTTGAAACACCATTTTCAATGTCCCATTTTAGCTGTTTTTCTTTTAACTGCTTCCTCTTCTCAGCCACAAGGGATGGGTTCGACTCACTCTCACACTGAGGCTTAATATGTCCGTCCTCTCCACATCTAAAGCAATACCAGGGCTTTGGTCTATTGCTTGTGTTGTTGTTTGCATCACGGCTGTGGTGAAGTCTTTGAGATGGTGGAGTGATGGCTGTGTGGGGAGCTACTAGTCTGGCAGCTGATTTAGTCTTTCTACCATCCTTCTGTGTGATACGTGTGAGCTGGGACTGTAAATCAGCTATTTGTTTCCTTAGGTCTTGGATTTCGGACCTGTGATCAAGAGCTGGCTGAGATGGGTTGCAGTCTTCACTCTGCACATAAACACCTTGATAAGAAGAAGACACTCTTGGCTTCGAAATATTGAGGTGTTGTTTCATGCGGGATGCTTTGGAAGTACATTTATCTTCTGCTGTGCGGAGTAACAGGAGAAGTTCAGCAAAGGTAGGTGGCTTCTGTTTCTTTTGTTCCAGCTGAAGTTCAGCTATCAAAGTGTTGTCCCAGCAGCCTCTGACAAACTGTCTAAGCAGATGCCGGTCAAGGTCACTTGCGTTTACGCCTCCCCTCCTGAGGGTGGTGTTCAGCATCACCTGCAGCCATTGTAGATAAGCCGAGGATTTCTCACCGTTATCCTGCATTGTGTTAAGATACTTTGCGAAAAGATCATCTCCGTCCTCGACAGTGCCGAACGCAGAGTCCAAGATCTCCAAGTACACATTAAGGGGAGATTCAGGTGTTAGGTGCTTCACAATATCGATAGCAGGCGATAAGAGACTTTCAAGAAGCTTTCGGGACTTGTAAAGATCAGACTGTGTTGTGTCTTTAAGAAGAAGTTCCACATTGGAACGCCATGTCTCATAATCCACTTCATTGTTGGATCTGGGGGAACGCCCAGAGAAGGGTCTGAGTCTCAAAGAAGTATGCACCTGCAGAGCAGAGTCTTCATTTCTCACTATGTGCTCGACGATTACTTTTTGAATGTCAGGTGGGTTGACGTCAGAAAGTTTCAGAGCAGGCTGTGTCTTTCCTTTAAATGGTGGTGTAAACCAATGATGTTGAACACGTTGCTCCGGGGGCCGTGCTGGGCAAGGGGCTTACATGTGCGGCATTTTCAGAGTCATGTTGCTCTGGGATATCACGTGAGTTCTCTTCCACATCCTCATCTTGGGTTTCTGATTGATCGAGATCGACATTCTCACTGATGACGGAGAGCTCATCCCTGAGGACAGCTGCAAAGTCTTTGCCAGTCAGTTTTGCAATGTCCTTTAACTCTGAAAGGTAAGTCTGTGTAGCTGTTTTACTAGCTACAGGTATGTAGACACTGGCTAATGTTCTAATGAGATAAGTGACATCAGTCTGAGTCTTACTGTTGAATCTGTATGGCAATGAAGGTAAGAGAGACTGTATAGCTGTGCCACACACATACTCTACCACGACCTGTTTGTCTACAGCTGGCTCAGCGGAATCTACTGGGATTACCCTTTGAATGGAACCATATTGTTTCAGGAAGTCAAACGGTTCTTCGTCAGTTTCAGTACCGGCTATACCACTAACTATGACTGAGTTAGGTATTTTCACACGACTCGTTTGAATAACGTCCATAATGAATCACTGATAACAATACTATACGGTCTCTGGTTTCTAGTTTTAAATGCTTTAAACCACTCCTGGCTGGCTCGCCAAAGTTGTAGCACCGGTATCACACCACTTATCACGCTACTGGACCAGTTCTAGGCTCTAAGGAGTGGGGAGCAAAAATAATAAACAGACCAGAGACCGTTTTTCTTTAAATACAAAAGCCGGCAGTTTTACTGAATGTAGAACAAAAGAATAATGCACAGTTCAATAACATAATAAACAAAAGAAATAAAAATATTCCCTGCAGGTTCCAAAATATCCCGTATTACTGAGGTAGGTAAAATGGAAATTATATTTCACTCTAAGTTCAGTTTTTGGTTCACTTAAATTCACTTTAGTCGAGTTAATCTAAGTTAAACCAAGTCTTTTCCCTAATTACTCTTATTTTAGAATTTCCTTTTAGAATTCTTATTCTCATTCCCTGAGTTAACTCTCTATTTTTGTCTTTTACAGGTAG